CGCGGCCGCTCCTCACCTGCGCGCTGGCGCTGCTGCTGCGCCCGCGGCGCCTCTGCTCTCCGCGTGTGCGGGTCGTTCTGCATCCCACTTTCTGCTAACTCGAAACTAACGCACTTCTCCGGAGTAACTCTCTTCTGCTGTTTTCCATCCACGTTTAAATGCTAAATGGGTTTTTGAGAGGAAGTCATTACCAGGTGTCCTTGGGCTGTAATTCAAGGCAGTGAAATTACACATATGCCTAATAAGCTTTTAAAAATATTTACATGCATTTTTTCACATAATGACTAATTGTAATACCTTTTGAAAGGTATTTTGGATTTTTGCCAAGGAAACAATCAAAAATCAGCTAGTCTTCCGCTCAGTGTGTAAAGAGATATTTTCTATATCATTTTATTAAATTATCTCTGAGTTTTCATTTTATGTGTTGCAGAAAAAAAACGTCTTCCACACTTTTGAGTGGTATCAGATAATACAGTCTCCTGATAGTTGCATACAGATTCTAAGGGAAAGCAGACATCCAAATAGCTTTAAGCATTGGGGGCTGTACAAATCTATTTTTTAAAAAGTGTATCTATCTAAAACAATTACAGAAAGATAGCTACAACCAAAGCCACAGCTAAGCATTTTGTGGGAGCATCCACCCACCTGGGCTCCTCTGCACTTCCAACATCAGTGCTTCATCTTCCTGAAGGCTTCCTGCCACAGGTTGTTGGCACTGATTCCCAACACTGATGTTCCTAGGGCCTTGGTGGAGCTGGAAGGCTGCATAAATAAGGCACGTCTGTGGTTTTTGTCTTTGGTCATAGCTTAACATAAGACCATCAAAAGTCACTGGAAATATCCTGAGTGCTACTTCAGAGTAGGAAAAGGCAACGTGGGGGAGGCTTGATGGCAGAGTACAGAAATTCAGCATGTGCCTGTCACAACAGAATAATGATCTAAATAATAGCAACTGTTACCTTCCCCTTCTTTAGAAATAAAACTTCACCATCTTTAGAAATTACAAAAATGCATACTATCAACAGAAGCCATGAGACTAAATCTGAAAATATATATGATATGATATCATATATACAGATCAGTATATGATCTGTCTTCTGTGCTTGTATTTGCTTGACGAAAATCCATCACTCCTGGTGCAGCATGGGCATACGAGGGCAAGAAAGAAGAGGTGCCAGGAGCGCTTTCTCCTCTTCACTTCTATCACTTTAGCACAGATAATGTGTCACATGTTCCTGTAGCATACTTGTTTCCCCCAGTTGTGTCAGATTTGGCACGTGCCCCTCGCCACGTGCAGACAGCATAAAACACTTTCCCTGTTTGTCCTGTCTGACTGCCAGAAACCAGCTTCTTGATTGTGCCTAGTTTTCTTTTCAATTTAAATGAAAAAACAAAATGTGTTGTGTACAGCGCCAATTATTCCCTGCAGGTATAGTAACAGTATTTGATAGCTTCAGTCTGGCTACTCTATCTAATACAACACGTATTCTAAGAAGCAGCAATTTAGTATAGCAGACAGTATTACTTGCCTTTGGTAACTAGGAATGAAAGCCGTTAGTTCACTATGTGCATTTAAAGTTGAATGTTCAACTGAAAGAGACCAAAAACAAGGGAAGAGTTTTCTTTCTATTCTTTCTCTTTCATAAGGCAACCAAAATTAGGATTTTTTCCCCTTTTTATTACGTTTTTTAAGTTATATGCTTCCAATTTTTTTCATTCTCCTTTGACATCTTAGTACTGATGTACATTGGCTTTCTGAACACCTTGGCTATGCTGAAATCTGTAATATTTCTGTATCCAGTGTCACTAGGTTAGTCATGTTTGTCTCCAGCAGATAATGATGATTACATAGTTGGTTAATAACAACAGCACTTTTAAAAAAATCACTGTGTGTTATGCAACCAGTAAATTTCCTTATGACACAGAATGTTAAATTAATATTAAATCAGTCATTTGTTACATTAAATTGAAATAGATCATTCAAAAGTGTTCCCTCAGAAATGTGTTTTCATCTGTTTATATAACATCTAGTACAGTGGGGTCTGGTTCATTACTAGCTGGCATTACTCAGTGCTAGAGTTGTACAGACAATGAGAGAAAACTATAGCTAATTTACTTACTTGGTCCCTATTTTTCATGCATAAAACTTTTAGTCACACTCCATAATAATAACAAAGCCGTTATTACCATTTAATACAGGTAATAAGTTCATAACTGTAAGCTAATTAATATGTGAGAAGTGGTAAGGGTCTGTCAGATGGTATGATCAACCTATTTCTAAGGGAAACGTTAGTGTGAATTGCCAAAGTTACTATTCTAGCACCGCTCTGTGTTCAAAGTGGATATAGCTTTGTAGTCTGTTTCTTACAGCTATGTTGCCACCTGACATAACTCAGTGGGTATACTATTTATAATTTCGTTAATCCTATACATACTGCAATGCGTAGCAGACTTAGATATACCATCAGAGAAGCAAAACATGGATACAAACGTGCTGAATATAAACATGCTGAAATAGGAAGAAAAATGGCTAGCTAGTACCTGTCTTGACATAAAGGAGCTAAATGGAAATGCTAACCAAATGGAAATTACTACAATTTGTTACTGCGACACAGCATCTTTTCTCCAAAAACTAGCAAAGACTTTTTGATCCATTTAATCCTTTAGTCCCATATCCACTTTCCTACTTATAACCGAAGAACAGAACAGACTTACCCTTCGCCCACGCTTCCTGCCAAATAACGTTATTACCATATAATGTATTACTGTTCTAACTTTTCATTCATGGACATGATTAGCAAGGAGATGGTCGATAATTGGCTTCAGAAAGTCTAGCCTCTTGCATCATAATTCCAGCTTGGCATTCAGCCATATTAAAGTCACAATGCTTGTATTAATGGATGGCTTCCTCATAAGGATTGGATGTAGGTGAAATGAGGATGATTTTTTTTTTCCAGCAATCTTTGTTACTGTCAGTCATGAAATATTGCTGTGTAAGGGGCTGCTTCACTGGTGTCTCTGCAGTAAGCCAAGGTTAGTGTCTTCCTCAATGCCTGTGAACAGTCAGAAACAATTAATTTTTGTCATCACTGTTTTTCACTGGTATTTTTTTAAACACATACTTATACTAATCTTCCCTCCCTCTTAGTCAACAATTGTCCTTTCCTTTAAAATCTGTGCCATCTCACTTCACTGATCACATAGGCCTGTTACGGATTTCTTTCTGTCATGATGTTATCCATCTTCTCCTGGCTTCTTTTCTTTTTTTTTTTTT